TATTCGTTACATCACTAATAATTACACCACTTTAAAATGGTAGCATTTTTTTGGAAGACTCGATAGAAGTATTTGCTTATAAGTTAAATATAAAATGTGGAGTCAATATGTACATCAACCTTTAGACTCTCTTCTAATATTGAAAATCAAATTTTTCCTCCTTAATGACTTAGACAAGTATCTCAATAAATGTTTGAGAATAATTCTCATATTCAGATTCAAACTGTACAAACAAAAATTACCTGATAAAAAATCAAAAGGGCTAAGAAGTCAATTAAAAAGAAACATTCAAATAAAACCAATGCTTCTTACACAAAATCTCCATAAAGGTCATGTCTAAAACTTCTTTAATTGATTGTTAAATAAACACGAAAGATGAATTAAAAATCAAACTGTTTATATTTTGTATATAAGTATAATTATTATTTAATTTTATTGATATATCACATAATATATAAAATTAAACATGCAAATTTAAAATCCACACAACATGATTAAAAATTAGAGGAACTGTAATTGTAATTAAGAGAAATTCTTGATACTGAGAAACAATCATAACATCAATTGTGCATGTTATTATAATTTGATACATTTCTGGACCTTAAAGTGCAGTATGTAAAACAAGTTCATTTTAAAAATAAAACAACAGAACTAACAAATTAGCAATTATTGATATAATTGAATGTATTTAAAAATGCAGCAATTATCATAACAATTAAAAACAATTCAGGCAATGGATGTGAACATTTTATAATTGTTAAAATGTCTTAGATATAGTCTTGCATCTTGTTATCATATAACACTTCTTAAGCTGATTGGCATCATTTGAAAATAAAATGTTAACAATACTCGTACAAACTTTTAATAATTGTGAATTATTCAATACCTTTTAACATATTTGATTCATGTAACTCTCAGATTTTCAACAGGTAAAACAGTAAGAAAGTTAACAAACTCTAGATTGCATTTTTAATGTTAACTTACCCATTAACCTTGAAAATAAACAAATCATTCAAATCTTAGACAATTTAAATTTCTCCCCTTAATGCTGAATAGTTCACAAACACACTTTCAAAAATGGGCATTTTTTTTATTAATAATAAAAAACGAATATGTAGTTATGCTTCAATTAGTAACTGTTTTTATTTTCATGTAAAATTATTGACCAATAAGAAAATTTCCTGCATCTATCATAGAAGTAATGATAAGTGCAAAAAATATAAATACTACTTTGTTTCCTGTACTCATCTTTAAGAGATTTAATCAGTAATTTCTAAAAACTTCAAGCACAGTATTGCTTGATTATAACAAACCTAAAAGAATCATCAGAAAAAGTTTGTTATAATTAATGTTCGTTATATCTGCTGAGAAATAAAACAATTTTATTTTGAAAAACTGAAGTTTAATGTCACTTATGATCAAATAATGTAACGTAAGACAAAAAGATTACACTATAACATAAGAAGTACTGTATAAAAGTAAATGTGGATAGTCATGTAAACAGTTTGTTATTTTTCTTTGTTGATTTTTGCTAGTTACATAACATTTGGTAATAATATACATTTCCACTTTAGCAAAACTAAAATATTTTGTGAAACATTATATTTTTGCAAAAACTCCTAAATGGTAATAGTGTTTTGCACATCCTTGGAAATTACACCATCATAAGCTATATTGTTATTATTATCCTCACTAATTTCATTACTTTTTGTAGATACTAATGCTATGTTAGACGAAAGTTCTCTACAGTCATCAATCTGGACATACAGTATTCTTCAAAATTCCATTCAGAAAATGCATTTAATAATTGCACAAGTAGCACATCATTTGTAACTTCACTTTTCTTCATAATTCTGTTGACCATGATCTGAATGAAACTCTCTTCCATTTGTAAAAAGCTGGCATATTAAAAACAATTTGCTACTATTTGCATTGATACTTTTTGCCGTGCCATATGGAACGTTAATGAATCAAAACAGTTTACAGAAAACAATTCTTTGCCACTCTCTATAAGTTAACATTTAGAAAAGAAAAATTTGTTAATAATTGCTCTCTAAACTGTGTTAACCCCTTGATCTAAAAACTAATTTTAAAGTCAATGGATGGCACAAACATCAGTTTAATGCAATGTAAACTCTCAACGTTGAAATTTACATGACAGTTACCAATCAATAATAAAAATTTTCATTTCTTTCTTTGCAGTTCTCCATCCCATTTGTGCAGTTTGCCACAGAAAATGTCAGAAGTAATCAGTCTTTCATTGGATTTTTAGTTTACCAATAGCTGTCTACTCTTAAAACAGTCTGAATTTTTTGATTTACCAATTACTAATAATTATGCTCCCATGAAATTTGCTGCTAGTAAAATAGTAATTTGATCTTTAGATAATTCTGTAATGAAGTTCTTGTGTAACATATTTTGTTAATATTAATTAAAATTTAAATATCATGAATTAATTTTTACACCTATTAAAATTAAAAAATAAGCAGTTTAAATTAGATTCTGTATATTGTTTCTATTCATTAAAATGTTTTCAAAATCTATTATTTTAATATTAGTAACAGTTCTAAAATTTTACAATAAGTTAATTCCCACCATTGTAAATATTGTTTAAAAGTCATTCAGAATGTAGAATTATTCCAAATGTAGTCAGAATTTTATATTCTATTTCTGATGCCATAACAAAAATTTTGAAAATAATTAAATGAATATAGAAAGTAATGTGTAATTTCTGTTTAAAATTATTATTCAGTATTTGTTATATTTTCATGTAATATGCTTAGAACATGAATGCTTAGATAAATACTAGTAAAATTGCAGTTCCAAATGAGAGGTTTGGATCCCCAAATTTTAGACCCTTCTGGAAAATCAAAATAGTCAAAGGAATCATCTCTCTAATTGTCACCCTTTGCGAGATATTTGCCTTTTCGGGCTTATTAAACATGACAGGCTTAATGGAGTTGCAGCGTAATTCCAATCATGCCCGAAAAATAGTCAGTGCAATGGCATTTCTCGTGTTTTATGAGCTTTCCCTATCCCTAGCAAAGTAGAAAACAATTGATTTTTAGCTTTGTTTTGAGTAATAGTTCTGAATTTTTTCACTTTTAAATTTTACTCCATTTTTGAATGTCTTGAAAATTCCAGATAGGTCAATTTTGAAGGAAATATATCTCATATGTAGATCATCAGTTTGACTTTTTACTCTGGTCATGGTCTACAGTCCCAACTGCCTTGTTCATTATTGCATTTGTACTCAAATATCAAAATATAATTTTTTATAAATCATAATGCATTTTCCACTTATAACTGGTATGAAAGTTTAATTAAAGTCACATAAAACTTTTCCTTTGATTTAATATACAATGTCTCTAATGTCCTAAAAATTTTATCCAAACAAATTTCAAAATATGATTATTTTGTGTGAAAACTGAATAAAGAATACAATTAAATTATATCAAGATTCAATTAGTTTTGTCAGTCTAGCAAGGACACAAAAAATTATTATGCTTTACTTGGAATTATTGTTATTTATGTGACAATTTTGGATGAGGTTTTTTGCATTGCTTGCAAGAAAGACTTTCGTTATTTACAAAGCATTCAGCGCCCATTTTCAGTAATAACTGGACTCCTAAAGACAGGCATTATTGATCCAAATGTGCTTGAGCAAATATATTCTTATCTAAAGTTCAATCTCATACATACCGTGTCTTCTCAATTCTAATGCACCCCTTTTTTTGGACTTTTCTGGTCTCAAAAATTGGGACGAACATTAGAATCGAGCACAAAGTTGACTTGATGCAGCCTTGTTCATGTCGTTTGCTTGTTACTCTGCTTGGTGATTTGCACATATTACAATGTGGGTACACATCCTTCCCTCTATTTCAGTTTTAATTTTGAGTGTGATTTTGGAATGTTTTGGTGGTCTTTTGAACTACAGCAATGCCAAGAGAACAATGTTTGGTAGACAAATCTATAAAGCTGTATTTAAGCAGAGAGTTGTCCCATCTGATGGAAGAACACGTGTACAGATATTTCAGTGTGATACCACATACTGGTAAATTTCATGCTTGTGTGTATAACAACATAAAAACTCACTGTTAAAATGCTGATTGTACAATAATTTTGACTGATTTTGTATTGGTCTGCAGATGCATTTGAATACATTCAAAAACGTGGACATCACGAAGCACCATGAACACAGTAATAAAATTATTTTCAAAAAATGGATTTATTACTGTTTAAATGCATTAACTTTATGCAGCTGCATTTTCAATGTAGGATACACTGCAAGCTTTTTTGGGGGGTTCTGATGTCTCAAAATCAGATGTGCACTAGAATCTAAAACAAAAAAAAAATGAAAAAAACAGTAGTTCCTCGCATTAGAATTTTAAATACGAAACAAGCAACGGCTTATTTGTTAAGAAAGATACTCAGAAAAACAACAATAAACATTTCCGACACTTCTTCGACCTCAGCCTAAGATCAATTCAAAAGCCATTCAAAAGTTCTTGGTTCTAGACCTCAAAGAAACACACTTCTAAGCATTTGAATGGCGTTCGGTCCGATCTGGTACAAGGCTAAGGAATGTAGAAAACATTTACAGTTGTTTTTCTAACTTCATTACAAATAAACAGTTATTTATTCTGATTCAAAGTCTACGTTTAGCCCTATTTATGCTTCAACCAAATCAATTTGAATATAAAAAGCAGAATTTGGCAATATGCAAAATCCAAAAAGTAAAGAAATCTGATTCGAAACAAAACATTACGCCATAGAGATGCCATCAATCATCTAAGTAAAACTTTGAATTTCTTAAAAATTCATGCAATAACGCATATGTGTTTCCCAATGCGCTCGACGTTGCAAGACGGCGTTTGACCCGAATAAAAAAAAGGCTGTAATAAGCAATCGTGGAATAAAATGAGTTTGATTAAGTAAAAAACACAGGCAAATGAATATCATTGTAATTAATGAAATGGAAATAATTGAACAAGCATTACCTCCAACTGGCAAGATGCTTTGGTCAAGATGAGGTCGAGGAGCCAATGCATGCCAGCCTGGGATAGAAATAAAAATGGAAGGGAGGGAGTGATATGCAGGAATAAAAAAGTAATTAAGGGTAAAATAAAACATCATGCATAAAAATAAATACAACCGCTTCTACCTTCTCGTCAATGTGTTCTGCCATCTTGCTTAAGTCGTCTGCCAAGGGCACGAGATCACGTGGGGCAGATAGGGTTACGTCACATGACCGAGTAACCTATTGTTTTATTGGTTAAGTTATTATCTACATCAGAGGGCGCCCGACGAACTCCCATTGATATACCGGTTAAAAGTTGCCATTTTTGTTTACTCGGTGAAGTAAATAAAACTGTATTGTGTTGCCAGATATTAGCGTCATTAATTAAAATTTAATTGAATATTTAATGACGAATCCATTAAATTAAATTAAATGCAGTAATTATTATTAATATATGTTTGTGTTAATGAGATAATTAATTAATAATCGATTAAAATAAATTTTTATTTATAAATACTTAATTAAACTCCAATATTTTTTTTTGGCTAAAAAGAATGCAATTTATCAAGAGGTCAATTATCAATTTTTAAATAATTTTTTTCAATTTAATTGAATTGTATAATTAATTAAGCAAACCAAATTAAGAATGGGATATACATTATACAGTCGACCCTCCTATTGGGGGTCGACTGTATAATGCTACATATTAAACAGGAATCCCGAGGTACCAAATATTTTTTCCGGCTGGGCAGGTTTTTTCAAACGGAAAATCGCCTCATTCCGATGAATTCCGTTTTGGACAGTTTTTACTGTATAATTGTGTATATAGGAAAATAATGTGTAGATAGAAATATTAAGATATTTTTTAAAAACATTTAACGGGTGACTTGTGTTCATTAAATATCAACAGTAATCGGTGTGAAATTAAAGCCAAAATTTGAGTTCTTTCAATTCGAATCGCGCTTTCCCCCAGTTCTTCGAGATGTTCCAGCCGATCGGGTGTGTCGTTCAATTCTTGTGTCTTCACGTGATTTAGTGTATACGCATTATACAGACGTAAGTGTCGTGCCGATGACGTAGAGATTTATAGGTAATTCTTATTTTATAGAAGACATTTTCTATCTGTAATGAGATAACCAAACTTAGTGTTTGTTTAACGTGTTTTTATAGGAAAACGGTCCCTTTGATCTTCCTGGATTCCCCTTGGCTGAACGCCCACTTGTTGCGTTGTAGAATTCCATCAAATCAAACTCAATGATTTTTATTAAAGCGGTCATTCGTCCCGGTTTTTCGGAGATCCTTCCGAAATGCGACGAATACCGGGTTAATTTATCTCCGAATTTTGATTTTGTTTCGTCTTCCGTATTAATTCGGTAAAATAAAAATTGTCAATTCGGTAATATATAAGGCTGGTTTGAAAATTATTTACACAAGGACCGAACAGCTTACGATTGCAAATTATATAATTAATTACGTCGATATATCCCGGATTTGAATTCTTTTACTCTGCGCTGTGGGCACTAAGAGGGTCTGGTATGCGTCAAGCAAACGGTGGCCGGGGATATTTTTACGTAATATTACGTAAATCGACGAGATAAATCAACTAAACTGGGGCCTTAGTCTCGAGTTTTTCGTGTTACAACTCCCAACGTGTTGAAGGTGTCACGTGGTACCATCTCACACACTGACGTCAAATTGGTAGTCTCGAGTTCTAACTCACGTGCTTTCCCATCTCACCATGCCAGTTGCTACTCACATTCAGTCAAGCATGTGAGATCGCTACACGAAAGTAAAAATGGCTGACGGATACGCAATTCTTATCGCTATCGAAGAGTTAGAAAGAGCCGAAAGACGTTGTTTGAGAAGGCAACGAATTTTTCGACCACGAGTAGATGACATTTCTTTTCGTGTCAAGTCAATACTAATAAAAAAAACTTTAATTCATAATTGATAAATGTATACAGCAAATTTTTCTAAAAATAAAAAGAAGTATCTAATTCATCGAAAAAGAGTATTAAAATGATAGTAAATTATATGTATAGATTATTAAAAGCATAGACACTACATTAAGATTATTTATTAATCAGAAGTGTTAAGTTCTGATTAATAAATAATCTTAATAGACAAAACAATTTAAGAAATAGATCAAGGAAGAAAACTATATGAAGAAAGGATTAAGTTTAAATACATTTTCCATTACATAACGGATTTTTTAGGTTCAACACACGCAATTAATTTTTCAAGTAATTCTCTCCACAAAGCGAATTGTCTTTTTCTTGTAAATTCGTTGTCGAATTTTCCGCTGTTCATTTTCTTATTATTTTCTATATATGTTACTAATATTTCTTTTTGTTCTTCGCTTATTTTTTAAAATAAAACATTCGAGGTTTTCATTTTGTTTCTGCGTACTATATTGCCACAAGACAACTTTTAACTGTAGCACGTGTAAACTAATTCGCGTTGATTTGTTTACAACTTGTTACAGTTAAGTTGATTGGTCGAATCATTATAGTCGCAAACCCAGATGCATTGTAAATAATCCCATCATGCTTATCGACAAACGTAAACAAGTGAATATGACCTACTTCCGCTCGCCTTTCGAGTTCACTCGAAGGGTCTAACTCGAGACTACCGATTATGTGAGTCATAGTAACACGAGTGAGTTCGATGACGTGAGTTCGAGTACAACACGAAAAACTCGAGACTAAGGGCCCACTGGTCGTGGGTGCCTGGCCAACAGGCTGGTCACACTGTTTTCCGGACTCTACTGGCGATAGTAACACCTATTATAAATAGGGGCGTTTCCTATGAAAGAGCTCCAAAGAGAGGTCAAGGTGGCAGCCTACCGCTCTGGGGATCCAGGATCGAATCCAGACGGGTTAAAAAATTCCAAGGTATTTTTCGGGGGTTGTCCGTCCGGATATGACGGGCCACGTCCCTCACCACCCCGCCGTCCAATTGTGGGTCTGGCAGAACCCAAAATGGGCTTGCTAAAAAGAGTTAAAAAACATTCCAAGAGACATCGCGGCAGATCACCCACTTGTCGCGTTGCTGCATACAAATAAAACCAAATATTCTTAATAATTCTTTTTATTAGATACTTTGCTGTGGCAATGTATAAAAACTTCCTTCCGGATCAATTTCTAAACATATTCTTCTTTTAGAGCACGATTCGATTATGACGTTTTAACTAATATCTCGGTTTCATCCATTGAAAGCTCATTAGACAATTCTGCAAGAGATTTTTCTCTACAGTAATACATAACTTTATTTACCGAACTCGCCGTAACGATATGTACAGTACATCAGTGCAGATACATATCGTTTCGTAAAAGATAGTGTTCAGAAAAGACAGTGGCATGCTGTGTCAACACTAAGTACTGTATTTGGACTCAATTTTTTCATCGTACAACAATGGAAATGCAGTGTCCTCTTGGCGCTTCTGATAAGGAAGCTGCAAAATAAACGATTCAATCGATTATAAAAGAAGAAAGCATGGTCGTGACGAAACCCCATTCGCAGGAGTCTCTTTCCAATCCGGAAAATGTAATCCTTCGGACTGGTTGTTGGTTCACAATCTGAGGGATGAGTTGGATGACGGTGCAAGGTTTCTCGAGAGAAAAATTCCAATGTTAATTTAAGAAGCGCCAATTCTTCTCTTAAGGATCTAGAAGATTAAAAAGAAGAAAAATTGGAAAAGTCAGGAAAAATTTATCTAGGTTAAAGAAAAAGGAAATAGAAACAGACGAACATCTGAACAGAGAAAGGGGCGAAGTAAGGAAGGAAGATCACGAAGAAATATTGAACGAAAAAAAGTAAAGCGTCCACAAGACAGTCATCAACTCTAACGGTCTAGGGAACAAACGGCTCTTTTCAGAGCCATTTTGTAATGGTCAATAGGTTTACACGAAAAAATGTATAGCATGTATTGTTATTTGTGGTCACGTTTAAAATAGTAGGGAAATAAAACATGGAATGAACCGTAGCTAACGTAAAATTTAAATATAACAGCCAATTACATATCATTGAATAATTGAAAAATATAGAATGCTTCGCGATTTCGATTGACAAAATATGACATTTTATATATTGTGGTGGAATATCACTAAAACGCATATGCGATTAGTTCGTTATTCAACGTAGACGCATTGATATATTGATTTAAGTGTTTCAAATGCCAAATATTTTTAGCGCATAACTGTATAGAGGACAGTATTCAAGATTTGGCCGGATGGCCGAGCGGTCAAGATGGCAGCCTACCGCTCTCGAACGGGTCGAAAAATCCCCAGGAATTTTTCGGGGGATGATCCGTTCAGATATGTCGGGCCCCGTCCCTCACCACCCGGCATCCCCATTGTGGGCCTGGCCAAAAACCCATAATGGGCTTGCAAAAAGAGGCCTTCTTAGTGCCCACAGGGCGGAAAGAGTAAAAAAAAAGTCCTTGTAGAGAGACAAAAGCAATATCTGAGTTTAGAACGAGAAAATTTCATATATTAAAAGAATTTCGAATGTTTACAGCTGACTGTCTCTATGCTCCAGCCATACTTGCGCCGCGAAGCGATTGAAGCGCTCGAAGTGGCAGAAAATTTATTACGCCAGTATCGTAGCATTAGAGTTATTGGCAGGTACATCCATCGACTCTGATTCAACTTGATATTTTTATTTATTTTTGCGTACCAACGCCACCTGTTGCCGTAAAGAAACAAAAGCTTTTTAAAGAAAATGCTCGCATAAAAATTATGCGCCACGGTAATTAAATGAAAAATTAAAAAATACTGTATTTGTTTTAATTATCTTCTTAAATAACTTTTTAAAATAAAAATAAGTTTAAAATAAAATAAGTTTTCTGTACTCATAAAAATGAATTTTTCGCACATCCACCATTAAAATACCAGTAATGAAAATTTGCTTCATTGATGATAGAGGAGTGTTATTGCTATTCGCTTATCACTCCAGAAGAAACAGCGAGGAAGAGATGGTCTTATAGAAGACGACCAATCCGAGGAAGACAGGAGAGAGGTCACGAAGCAACCAAAGCTGGCCTTATAGGAGACGACCCCCGCGAGAAAGGCAGATAGAAATGCCTTCCGGGAGGACTTGGAGGGGAAGCTGGCCCCTATTCAGGCGTCGTTGGCGAGGAGGAAAACCCGGAAAAAACTCCCGCTGCCAGCCCGTCCGAGTGAGGCGCGAACCTCCGATCGAACTCCGGTGTTTAGGGTCTGGTCACCACTATCAAGCGGAGACGGAGTCCACTCGGCCGAGTAATGAAAATCTTTCTAAACAACTTTTTTAAACTCTCCGCTCTGCGGACACTAAAAGCAAGCCCATTATGAGCCAGGCTCAAGATGGGTGGCCGAGTGGTGAGGGAGGGGACACACCACCCTCCCCGTAAAATTCCTGAAATTTTTCGATCCCGGGTCCCTCAGAGCGGTGGGATGCCATCTTAATTACTCAACCATCCGATTGTATTTGAACAATGTTCAATAACTTAATCCGAAAGAATCAAATAAGTCGTTGCTATTTTATCATACAGTTTAACATTCTCATAATAAATTTAAATTTGTATAAAACATTTCATTTTATTCCCGAACAGTTTATTTACCGACCACTGTCAATCTGTGGCGCTGTACTGAAAGTTTTCCTGATTATATATATAGCAAAACCTGTATATATTTATTTATAGGCAAATAGTGTACACACGCACGCACACATTACCGTTCTCCACTCTTCCGAATTCAGTCTATTCGTTATATTTTCCCATTGTTACGATCTTTCTTAAAGCAAAAGTCGTATGAACGAATAGTTTCTCCGAAACTAAATTCGGATAATTTATCAATTCGAGCGAAATCTCGAATTGTCTTTCTTTCTTCTCTAATATGGAGACTCTGGCTGGATCGCCTTCTCCCTGATATACTCTTGTCCGTTATTAGACAAATCGGTGTGCGCGAGCTACGTAGCGTTCGAGGTCCTGCACGTGCTGTCTAGGTGAGAGGTCTGGTCTTGCCCAATATATGGGTGTGAAAGTCTGGATGATTGCGAGCTCTATCTTCAGAGTACGGCCGAGTCCTTGTCGGGCCTCCGTATACCTTGGGCACGTCAGCCAATAATAGAGGTTGCGGCCTCTTTATTATTGGCATTATTATTATTAAAAGTTTGAAAATGGTGTTTGGATAGTCAGTGGAATCATGCTCGACATTCCAAACACCATTGCCAAACTTCTAGGCCTTCAGGAAAGCGGCGCTGAACGTCCGACGTACACGTTTTCGCGTTGAAAACGTCGGCCGCAACCTGGATGTATCCTGATCGCCACAATACGAACAGTCTGGTGAAGCTTGTAGGTTTCTAGAACAGAGGAACCCGTTTAGAAGGGCAGTGTCTGTTCTAAGGCGGGCCAAGAGGGTCTCCGCGTTCTGAGAAGCGTGCCTGTAAGGCCAGGGAGCGAAGGATCTGAGGTGATCTCGTCCTTTATTCCGCAAGTTCGCTTACCACAATTCTGCGATCCCTATTTTTTGTTTTTCTCTATACTCTCGGATTAAATCGCGGGGCCGTAAGTGACCTACGCCAACAGCCTGAAAGGGTATCCGCGCTCGCGGCTCTGTCTGCCGCCTCGTTAATGCCTATTCCCACGTGGTCCGGGATGCTGACTAATATTGTCCGCAATGTCGATAAGAAGTGCCGGGGACGAGAAGATACAGGAAAATACTGTATTGCCTATCGCCTGTATGGCGGACGTACTGTTGGAGCATATGACCGACGGACCATCTAGGCTTGAGCTTAGATGTAGCGCCCGTTTGATGCCCAGGACTTCTGCCCCGTATACACTGCAAAAATTATGTAGCAGCCAGGTCTCCCTGATGTTGTGGTCCGGGAGGACAATCCCTATCGACGTGCGGATCCTTGACTTGGAGGCATCAGCCCTTATGACGATCCTTCCTTGCCAGGTTGACATTTGCATCTCTCTGAATCGCGCGCATGCGAATTGTCAACAAGCTATCGTCTAAGGGCGACGTTTCTTCAAAACACATACCTAAACAATAACGATTAAAGGAACGGTATTTCGGAAATAAAATAGATAACCAATTATAACTTCGTTAACATTCCGAAATACCGCAACCGATAGTGTCCACAAGACGGAGTTGGAGGTAAACTATGTAATACTAAAAAAAATGTTTATGGGGGTCTTCGGGACACAGTTCGTCAGCGAATATAGTAGTCCCGGAAACTTGTTTTAGTAAACGATCCGTCATGTAATTAATTTTTAACTCTAACCTAACAGTAGGGTCGAACAACTTATCGTTATTCACTGGCGACACTAGATACATTATCACGTGAAATCGATGCCCTTTCCGAAGTGCCATTACACGACGGGACGCAAATGTTGGTCCGAAAGTAGCCAAATAGATTTTAATTAATTAAAGAACGTAACTACAAATATATACTATACGTACTGTACTTATAGTGACTATACGAATTTGCACACACAATACTTTGCTAGTCGTTCTGATAGATTCCATAGTAATAAGCGTAAATTTTGCTGAAGAAAAATAATCACACACGAAACGTACCGACTATGCAACTATTATTATACAAGGAAAACCACTCCTTGGTCCTTTACTGGTGTTTTTTTCAAATATTAGTGACCACTGGATGAATAAGCTTTTGGCCATTTCTCAGACTGCCAAACCGACGTTTCACTGTACTGTACACGGGTGTTCATAAATTCAATTTCTAACTAATTTCGAAATTAAAAACACTGCAATTTTCTAACAATAACCGCGATTCGTTAATATGCAGCTTGTGTTTAATACCGACGGGCAGAATCTCTCAAATTCCATATTAAAATCGCAACAAATTTATAGCTTCGCACATTTCATTACGTAGTCGAATAGGCAGGACGAGATTGCCTATTTTGTCTTCCGAATTAAGAAAATGGCATTTTACGTTGTTAACGACGGACGAATCGGCCCTACTCCCGTTTCCGTAAAAAGTTCCCGACTTTAAATGAAAGGAGGCAAACACAGATTTAAGCACTTCTACAAAAAAGACTCTGTACACAGTATTTTTTTTATTTATATGTATATTTATGACAGTTATAAATGATGAGATTTACAGAATGAATTTGCATCGCCTTTTTATCACTTCGAAAGTCAACCGAGAGGAAGGGACGCGACGCGACGCCACGCGTACGCGCACGCCAAGGAAAATGCGAGAATTCGTCGCTAAGGCAAGTCGTCGCCGCCGCCGTTCTCGCTTCGAGATCCGCTGCAAGGTGGCATTCAAGACCGGAATTTCGGTTTTTTCGGAAATTTTCCAGAATATGCCTTCTCGTACGACTGCATAGGAAAAAAAAAAAAAACACAACTTTAAAAATTAAACTAGATCGACCGGAACTGGAATGATGTCTCCAAATACTACGTACGACAAAGCCTTCGAACGTAACAAAATCCGATTGCGACGAAACCAAACGAAAATTTAAAGCTAAAAACGGACTCGACGAATGCATCGGCTCGGATTCGTCTCGCTCGATGCAGCAAGCCGTACGAAAAAGAAAGAAAAAAAAAAAAACAATCTGCTCTCTATGTATATTGTGTAGTATATGTACATAATTATATATATATATAAGTACAGAACATATGCCCCGAAGGACAGCCTGTACTACATATCAGCGTGTATAGGTTCCGACAAGTTTAGTCAAACAATATTGCTCAGACGCAGACTACGCTCGAAGTATACGCGTCGTTACGCAACGATCGAATGGATGCCGGCCCTGGTGTTAAATGCGGTGTTGACGGCCGCCAAACGTTAAAAAAGAAAAAAAAATAGAACGAACGACCGAATCGTCTTATCTCTTGGCTAGTTTTAACACCAGAGACTGGTGCGACCCCCTTTCCGAAATCACCGTCCATTCGGGATCGCTGGGGTCCTCTTCGGGTAGGGATTCGCTGTCCGTAGACGAGAGGGGCGAAGCGGGTTGGCTGACAGGCGTCCGCGCGAAACTTTCCGAGGGTGCCACCACGTGGTCGGTCAGGTGGGGAGAATTGTCCAGCATTTTGTTGTAAAGGTCGTCCGGCAAAGGAAAGACGTAGGGTTCGTAGGGCGCGGCCGCTTCGTACATCTCGTCCGCCTCCCACTGCATCTCCTCCGACCTCTCCCTCTTGGAAAGCGACATCGTTCTCTTCCTCTCCGTCCGAAAGCACGGTGTCCCGACGCTCGACTGACTGTCCTCGAAGAACAGCGGGATCGAAGTCGAAGGCAGCACGTTTATGGGAGAGGAGGCATTGATGGCAAGTCCGGAATTCGAATCCTGACCCAAAATGTCCAACTGGTGGGGCGAGAGGGGGTCGGGAGTGTTGGCCCCGCTGCTGTCCGCCCGGTCCCCGCGGGATCGAGAGCGACTGCGTCCCATGCCTTTGTTCTTGGTGTAGGACGTGGCGAATTTCTTCTTTTCCTCTATCTCGCAGATTTGGTGCCGTTCGGCGTACGACGCGTCCGACGTGTCTTCCATCTGAAATGCAACGGGTCAATTTTCAATTTGAAAAAAACAAGTATCAGTACGCGCCGGTAACGCGACCGATTTAAGGGGCCACGACGAGGCACACCAGTTTATTGCAAAAACGACGCGCCACGACTCCGCGGATAATTTTTCTTAAAGCTTGAGTGTTAATTTTGAAGTCGTGGCACTAAATAAAAATCGAATATAATTTTTACAGTTCTTTATTCGTGTTATCCTTTTATTATTGAGGGTCTCGTGTACAAATACTGTAGGAATCGTATCAAATTCGACACTCCGACTGTTTTGCAAATTCACGTTTTGGGACCGCCTGAATCCAAAAATGTCAAAAAATTCCATGTGTTTGCGTCTATTTCGCTTAATATCTTGGGATGGGGTAAAGATTAAGGAACAAAATTTGGCACAGTGGCTTGTATATGAAAAGCATTAATGCTATTAAATTTTGGTCGAGAAGATGGGGAAGATAACCCTCGAGATTCGAGATCCTCCTCTAAGACTTAATGAAGACTTTATTTGTTATTAACATATACGGTTTTTTTATAAAACTTATCCCCACCTTCAAAATTACGCTTTTTGCCATTTTATATTAATTAAAAAAATATAAAAAGTTTTTATAACAAACTCTCGTAACAGATGGCGGCACATGCAATTTTACTTAATAATGTGTTTTTAAAAATAATGCAACAGCCGTAAAATTTACGCAACTTTCGTTGCCAACTTTTTATTTGTTTAATAAAATTCCGGCGCGTTGGTGATTCGATAAGCGCGGAAAGTGATTGGACATTACATATCTTTCGAGCTCACTCGAGCGTGCGGACGGAAATCATCGAGGTGGTGCATTTTACGTAGTTTCTGTTGTGCTTCAGTTACTGTTGCAATATCCAAAAGAATGCCAACACCCACAAAAGCATAAATGTTTTTAATTTTTATTTTGGGTAAGTTTATTACTTTTCCTTCTCTCTGCTGGTACAGAATTGATTAACAATTGGCAATTTTTTTGGATAATGAAAATCTTGGATATAATTCGTAGACAGGTAGGAGATGGTGCTATTGTTGTATTGGATAGTGCAAAGTGTAACAAGCCTTTAGTGTTCCCTGTACTTGTTTGAAGTTGTCTTAAAATTCTGCTGATAAGATTCCAGATGATAATTTTTTATTAATTAAAATTGAAGAGCAAGGCCATAAAAAAAATCACATTTTATATTCACTTTTGTATACTGGAATACCTCTCACGACAACCTGATCTTTCCTTTTAAGCTTCTTGGTTGCAAAAATTTTTTTAAAACATTCTTTTAAAATATGAAAAATATCTTATTAAAAAATAAGTCACTTTTAAAAGTGACATTTTATTGCTTTTCCAACCATACTATTTGCTTGAACATTTACACACCAAGATAAGTGCTGGTAATACATAAATTTCAAGCACAGAAGTATTCAAAACATGAAAGTGAATAAAAGATGACTGTTCAATAGACGGTTTTCAATTTTAATTGGTACTGTTTTAATTTTTTTTAACAGTGTAGACATGATGGAATGTCGGTATTCATTTGGATGTGAGAATCGTAAAAAATCAAAGAGGAAGAGAAAAACAGTAAGAAATTGAAGCTTATCCCGCTGAAACTTGAAATAATGCAATAGAAATCCCATCAACAGCAATCTCTATCCCAACTGCAACAACAGAAAATCTACAGTGCAAAGCTGTCAATTCTGGTGCACAAAGTGCAAGTGTGCAGATTTAATTTAGTGGCTGTGAGTCATTGGAGTCAAATGATTAGGAGGATGGCAACATTAAATTGCACGAACACCCTAACGGCAAGATATTGTACTGTGAACAGATTGGCTTTGGATGTGGTAGACTAGTTAATAAACCAAGGAATGTTCAGAATTGTCTCGAGAAACAGTACAAACATGGTGATATGACATACTTTTCAGGACTGAGTCATTGCTACAGGATTAAAAGGAATGGAACTAAAAATAAAAAAGAATGGCTGATTTTTAGAAACAAGGTGTACTGTTACATTCCAGATAAAAACAATCTTTTGTTAGTGGATTTTGTTACTAGAGAAATGTACAAAATGTATTAATGACCACAAGATTCTAAAATTCATATTACAGCTGTGTTTACTAGTTCCTCAGTTTGAAAATGATTGTTGTTATAATGAGTTTTCCAACAAGTTATAGTTTCTAATGGTATGATTTCACTGGGTCTTGCCTTCAGGAACCATAATAAATCTTAAACTTCAACTCAAAGATAAATTTTCAACATGCCAAGAATACCTGAATGAATTTGAAAAGTTTTTTTTTTTTAGTATCTGAGTAAATTCCAGTACTCAGGTTCTGACAAAACATGTTGTCTTTTACACCAAACCTATGACAAATCTGTCTTAATCATAGCTACTTCTCTAAGATACATGTATGCTAATGCTATCTCAAGACTAAGAACAAATTGTTCAGAAATTAAACAAGCATTAATTAATAGGTGTAACTATAAATACAAATATATTGAAAAGTAAACTACAGAAGTTGAAGCAAAATTGTTAGTTAATTGAAGTTTTGAAAAATACAAAACTGCCAATTTGACTCATGCAGAACCGACTTTTTCAAAGAATAAATTATGTTTCCAAATCACTGCAGAAATCTGAAGCTATAATACATTATTGAAAGCTGTCAGATTACTGCTCCTCTCGAAAGATTTATTTTGGAAATTAGAAATTCTCTTGCACTGAGAAGGAACTACCTGATTTAATAGAAAATTTGTATAGTGTGAGTGCTTAATGTGGCACAATTCAGTGCTAGAGAAAAAGGAAAACTAGCTGATAAAGAAAATGAAGTAATCCTTCAGGAAATGAAAAAAGTTATTTTGGAAACATTCTATGCAGTCAGATCAAAGGCAGGATTTAATAATAAAACTGAACCAATTAAACAAATTGTTGACATTTTTGGAATTTTCTTCAGTCAATATGTAGATGAAAATAAAAAGCATGCATGTTTAAACAGTTTGATAATCTTCTCCAACTTTTCAAAGACAAAGTTCATCAGTTCCTTCATTCTGTTAGATTCCAAAGTCACTTACTCCATCTGGTTTACATAAATATGCAACTGATGGATTAGAGGCAACATTTATTAACAATGAGGATTTAAGTATTCACATGTGTTTACACCATCAGGTTAAAATAGTATTGACTGAATAGTATTAATAGCTAAAAAACATTTCAACATTTTACAAATTTTTAATTAAATCAAACTTGCTAATTTAATGAATTTTTTTGAGTGCATCTTATCCTATGGACTAAGAAGAGAAATATATAAAAAAATTTATAGCCAAGTATTGCCAAACATTACTAGAAATATTTGGCACTGAAACCTAAAAACCAACAATTTCAACTGCATTTGGATCACACTTTTTGCCATAAAGCAAAATATATTTTTCCAACTTAAGGTACCTCATCACAATTATATCATAAATACAAGTATATATATAGGGTGTCCCATAAATTCGTAAATAGTTTAAAAATTCATAAAAATCAAAAGAATTGGTATATTTGAATGCAGTTGCATAAAAGTTATTCTCATGAAAAGGGATTTTTTTTGGATAGAGAAAAAGGAAATAGTGAACTATTTCCTTTTTCTCTATCCAAAAAAAATCCCTTTTCATGAGAATAATTTTTTTTTTGTCAATAGAGGGTGCTAAACACAAGAAAAATCACTGGAATTGTGCAAATCTGAGTTTCATAAAATGCAGAGTGTACGATTAACAGCTCATTTCTGAATTTTCCTGTTATTAGCGCTGACATACAGTTTTCATTATGACATTGACATTGGTGGATAAAGCACTATTGGTGAAGTTCTTTTATCTCAGCCACGAATTGCCAGCTGAAACTTTACAAAGTTTTAGGACACAGAAGAGAATGAAGAAAGGTTCAGGTCCAATTACTCCTGCCGGATTAGTTTCCTAATACAACGTTTCAAACACATGGAAAGTTTGTGTAATCACCCACGCAGTGGTGCATCACATTTATCAGAGGTCTATACCTCCAATGTGGCTTTGCAAATGGAGACTAAGTCCCGAATGTACTGCAATAGACCATATTCTTCAGTGCAGTTAAAGGACGCCATTTGCCACGAAATATCCTGCATCCATCCGGATTTGCTACATGCTATAGTTAGCGATGTTGTCACTCGCTTGCAAATTCTCATTTGTGGTGATGGCAGACACATGATGATACTGTGATATGCGTGTAAGTGTAAACATTTGCCTGCATGCAAATAAATGTAATTTTCCAACGGAATTCCAGTGATTTTCTTGCATTCAGTGCCCTCTATCAACAAAAATTTGAACTATTTCCTTTTTCTCTATCCAAAAAAAATCCCCCTTCATGAGAATAACTTTTACGCAAACTGCATTCAAATACACCAATTCTTTCAACTTTTATGAATTTTTAAACTATTTACAAATTTATGGGATACCCTGTATATACATACATAAAAACTTTGATTATTAAAAAACTGGGCAAATATATTGTATTAATATTAATACAAGATGGTAGCCTAACTGCCTATCCTAAGCTAAACTTTAACTAAACTAAGTAATTTGGCCTAAGCTATAGCCTGGAAAAAAAAATCTATTATTAGATACGTTCAAATATCCTGAGTATTTCTCCTTATTAATTTACAATAAATTAAAAAAAAAGTTGATATATTTTATATTCAGGAAGTCCCCAACTTTTGGACATATAATAATGTAGTTACTTGATATAAAAGTTTGTTCACAGAGAGCTAAAATGGAAAATAATAAAATCTATTAAAAGAGAAAAACTTGGTTTTTTACAGCAATCTGTCAAAACAAATATTTTAAATAATGTTAAAACAGTAAATTAAATAGAAAGGATACAAAAATTAATTTTCAAAAATGATTTTCATGATAATGAAACCACCTTCTTGCACAATAACTTAAATTTTTTGTTAGCAGAAACTGTAGTCCAAATTCACTATTTGAGAATCAATTTAGTGGTATCAAAGTTGTCCAAAAGTCAAGGACTGCAATATTAAATAATCAGATTTTAGATGAAAGCTTAGTGAAAAAAATTACCTCTTCAGATTTTATCTTTCCTCCATTTTCTTCCATATCTGCAACTGTTTCATCAATCAAACGCCACCTTAATTAATAATATGCTAGTTTAATGTTTCATATACGCAGTGAAATTATTATTCAAAGTAAATATTTTTAATTATACAAATAATTTTTGAATAAAGTAATTGGAAATATGTGAAATCAATATTTGACAGGCATCTTTTGTTCTTAGTACTGTAGAAAATTTAAACACCATTGATAACAAATGATTGAATATTGTAAATAGATTAATAAAAGTATACAAAATTCAGACTCTCAAGTTTAAACTCAAATCAACCAAAAATTATTTACAGTGATGTTTTTTATATCTTTTTCCAAGGCTGGAAAACCTTTCAAGATTAGAAAAATGAATGGACCTTTAACTTTTCAAAAATCACAGTTAAAATCAAAAGAAAACTTCTCAAACCAACTATTTTATTCTTAAGTTTATTCATTACATTGATTTGTATTTGTTTTAATGCTAAAAGATGCTATTTAATTTGACTGAGTTCAATGGATTGTTCAAAACATGTAAAAAAAAAAAAAAGTGTCAATCTAAATTATCTGTGATAAATTGATATGATTCAACATCAAATTAATCTACTCAGATTCTCCACAACACTATACTAATGCCTTATTACAAAGCCATCATCAGCATCACTAACTGGATGACACAAAATAATCATCAAATATCAGAAGCATAAGAAATCAATGTAAATTTTTGTTCACTAAATAATTTTCAACGTTTCTATTTAATGCTGCAATTTTTACCACTAAAATGATATTTGCTATAATATTCTCTATCAGAAACTAGCAGAATTTTATTAAAAGTTATACTTAATTTTTCATAAATTTTGAAAATACATGAAATTTAATTAAATAGCATATTTAAAATGTATTTTTAAAGATTAAACCTTAAAACTGTTAATTTCAATACAGAGATTTGTTTCAAAAATTTGAATTTATTTGACAGCATGCAACAGTTTTTAAAAAAGTTAATAAAATATAAACTTTTTGTATATTACCATTTTAATTAGTTAAAGAAAAAACTACACACATTTTCACTAAACTATTTTGAGTTCTTTGTCATAATTTATTTGAAACATATTCTATTTGAAATGAATCAAAGTGAAATACGCTGTTCAGTTTATATTATGATTTCTAAATCACCACCATTAAATCACTGTGTTTTCATTAAAACAATGAAAATATTGACTACATTCCAAATTTATAAATCCAACTAATAATAATAATAAAAAAAAATACATATATAAAACTTAAAATACCAAATTCATAAAAAATACAATATCTACAGTCTATGGAAAGAATTGACTTGAGAGCATGATATTGCTTCAGTTAAACGAATCTGCACATTCCCTGATAATGTCAGCACCTTTCGCTTAGTATGTGAGGCAATATGTTAATTTTACTCTCTCTCACTAGATGGCAGAACAACTTTTTTTTTATTAATTGTGTTAATTTTTTATAGCATTCATTAACTGTACAGAATCATGCATTTAACTATCATTATAGCAAACTTCCTCATATCTCAATGCCAGAACATGAAGTAACTTGCCACAACTAAGCAATCAATCACCGATGCTTAATAGTTAATACCCAAATTGATTCTTTCCCTAGACAGACTACAATATGTGGATTGATAGTACATATGTTCTGAGAAATCATCATTGTAGTAGGGGAAAAAAAATGATAATGTAAAATAAACTATTATGAAACACCCAAGTGGAAAACAACGTTCTTAAATATTCAACATGTAAGTAAATACAGTAGAATCTTGTTTTAACATATTGCAGAACAATAAATCTATTGTTTTGTGATATGTTAAAACAGTCTTGGTGGTCTTGGAATAATAGATTTTTCCCTCATGTCCTGCCAAATCAATGTAATTTTATCTCCTTTCAGTGAATCCTTAATGTAAAATAATAAATTTTTTCTAGCCCCATATACTGTATCCATCAGATTTTTTTCAGCATTTAATTAATACATGGGTGTTTCTGTGCTAGACTACCAAATTAAAAAATATATATATTGCACATGGAATAAAATACATGCATAATTGTCATGGTTCACATTGCTAGCATTGCAGCTGTGTCACTGCCCTCCTGTAACCCATTCATTAGTAGCAGAAGTAATTCCAGACCTGCACATATCTGCAGAAAAAATGTGTGACAACTTGGGGCTATCGACCATTGGAATCACACCGTATGATCTGGTAACACACACATTTCTATAGAATAAAGGAAGAAGATAAAAAAAAAACTGAATAATTTCAAGTACAGGCATTTCTTAAATGTTGTAGGTTAAAAAGTAAATAAAGTTTTTGAATAATGGATATTTTCCTGGGTGTGTGGAAAATCTATTGTTCGTGGTATAATGGATTCAGAGAACAACAAATTATTTTTGGGGGCCTGAATGATCTGTTAAAATGAGATTCTATTATATATTGATTGTACCCCTTACTTAAGTCCCAACTGAAATTTAAAAAGAAACGAATGTTTCCTTTATTAAATGAAATGCATATTTTTCAAAGTATCATTTATAGGAAAAATAATAATTACTTACTTTGGAGTAATTATTTCTTTATACTGTAGCTTTTCTACTCTAGTTGAAGATGCAATACTGTATGGAATAACAATATTGTCTATGTCAAATGCACTTTCGCCTCGTCGTCTTCGTAACATGTCTTGTAATATTGATGGTCTTCCATTAGAATAAATACCTTTAAGTACAAATCATAGATATCAGAAAACAAATTTTATTATTATTATGAAACCACATAAAAAAATTTAATGATCAATTGTAAAAGTGAAAATTTTAAACCAATATGTATTTTGCCCATATTAATCATCTTCAGGTTCAGAAACAAAATTCTAAAATATAAATATGGTTCGGTGACGTTACTTCGAGTTCGGTGACGAAGTAGTCCTGTTAGGAGACAAGTAAGTATTCCATTTTGTAGGCAACTTTAATCCAAATAAGAGGCAGTTAATAAGTTCATTTGGTGACAAGTTAATCCAAGTAGGAGACCTAGTGTGAACGTGATGGGTTAAGGAATTGGTGACAACTAACCATTAATAGAACGGGCAGTGACTTGAGTCGTGGAGGAATGGGCGGCAACTTCTTGACTCGGTGAAACTAAAATGGCGACTCTTTCTTTGGCTGTTAATTAAGCTATATGCATGATATTGCCCAACAAAAAGGTCAGCAGGTTATGGGAATGCATCGTTTTTGTTGTCGAGAAAATGTAAGTGCAGATTCTCTCAGGTAGTAGATGACAACAACTATTGAACAAGTATGACAACATCAACAACCGATTTTTGTTAAAGTTCGGATTCTCATACTTGTAATGGCAAATCTAACCAAAACAACTAATTATAATTGAATCATAAAAGTAAATCATATAGAAAATTTACTGGATTTACCTAATTTAAAATTTTATAATTGTTCTATAACCATTATTATTGTTAACTTACAATACATAATTAAAGCTGAACAATACTATAATTTTGGCATATAACCTGCAAAAATTAGCAAAAATGTAAACTGTTATAAACCTCGAACAAAACCTTTTAATATGCAGCCATTTTATTATCTATTCGAACACCTTCAAATAGATAATAAAACGGCTTAGTTGTTTTTACTAAGTGCAGTTAGAGAAGAGTGTAAACTGTTATATAACCCAACCTACCATATACCGTGTATTTTGGAGTAGCCATTGAAAGCAGGATAATTACTGAAATGCAGTTTACAAGTTGCCATCTCAAGCATCAGAACATTGCTTTTTCTGTTAATTAACATATCACTGTAGATATACCAAGCCCAAATATTCTATAATAATCATATTAATTTCCAGATTATCTGGACTATAGTTTGGCTAACTATTAATAATTAATATAAAATAATTTTTTCTAAAGATAGTATAAGACAGCAGTCTAACCGCCTAACATTAATTCATAATTACAGTAATTTTTTTAATTAAATTTAATTCAAAATAATAATTAATGAAACTGAAAATAAAGATGTTAAAGTTTAAAAAAATAAAACAAAAAGGTAATGTAGCAATGAGTGTCACACTAGTTAAACAAACATTTGCATAAAATTTAAAACATTAAATAACTTTCAATCCAAACATTCATTAGCAGAGACAATAGATGAGTACAGTGGCACAGACACTTGTGTATTGTCTTCATTAACATGCATTTGAAGACACTTACATATGGCACAGGCCTTAGCCTTGACAGGAAAGAGGCTACTCAGAAACACAATTACAGATTCTCAATATTAAAATTATTTTGTTTAAAATATTGTAACTTTTTAAACAGAACATCATGAGTTTCACTTTTTACCATTTTAATTCCTTTTGGATTAGACTGAAGATAAATACAGCAGTCCCTTGATAATCTGACAGGTATGGGACCAAAGGGGTGTCGGATTACAGAAAGTGATTACATATTTGGCATTGTTTTGCTAGCAGTAGCCTACAATATTCTTTACTCCAACTGTTTGAACAGAACTGCTCACGGAAAACACACAAAATGTGTGTCATTGTGTAAGAATTGGGTGGGGAGATTCACATCGTGACATGCTTCTGTGCAAGCAGACACGTAACGGGAATGGGTACCTTGATGGAAAGTGCATCGGACTACTGAGCATGTCGGATTACAAAATGTCGGACTATCAAGGGACAGCTGTACTTGCAATTAAGATATTGATTAATTTAAAAATTAAATCATAATCCATAGTGGGTCACGTTAGGGTTGTAAAAATAGTGGGAAGTATATCATAGTTAAATATTTGGTGTCATTTCTCACACACACCCATGAACAGATAATTGTCAGTCCAGTGGGTTGGCTGCTTGCCACCAGTCTGTCATGTAGTGTAAATCACCTTTAACTTGTGACTGAATTTAAAATTGACACATAAACTGCACCCTCTCTCAAATTATCTTTCAAAACACTGGTAACCCGAGAGTTAGAAACCCAAAATTATGGTAATAACAGAAATTTTTCAGTAAATGAAAATATGTATAATATTTAGAAACTAGAAATTTCCCCATCAAGCATGATGGAATAGTTTTATAAGAAAATAGAGATTGAAGTTAACAGGATCATTAGATCATTATCGCGACTGGATAATAGAACATCACATGGTCACTATGAAAAGATTTCTTTAAAAATTTGTTATAGAGGTGACATGATACAGCTATTTTTTTTTTTTAGAGTTTAAATTTAATGAAGTAAGTTTAAAATATGCCATTTTCCAAAATATTTAAAATGCAACTCAAGGGAAATTCCGTCGTCAAGCATGAACTAAGTGAGATCACTGCAATGTAAGTGCCAATCACTAATCCAAAAATTGATAAAATGTTTATTCTATAGATAATATTTCAGCAAAATAAGCAGACTATACTTTCAATCAGGACATAAAATGAATATAACCAAAATTTCATCTGAACTAGACAAAAATGACAGGAGTTATAAAGGAATAAACACACGCGTGCGCGATGGCATTTACATTATTAATTTTTTTATTTTATACACGAAATGTCAGATGACAATTGATCTCTACCCCCAATAACAATTAAAATGAAAACCCCAATAAAATACATTGTATAATGGCCATTATAGTCAAAAATTACCAGGAAATATGTACAATGATAATAGCTGGTGGATATTGTGTATTTGGAATCTCTAATGAAGGTTGGTTCAAAGTTCATAACTTCAATATTTAATTAAATTAACATTAATATAATCTGGGAGCTTAGATCAGTATGTTTGATTTTTCAAGCTTTATTATAATAATTTTAACTACAATAAAGCAACTATCATCATACCAAGTCAGTTAAAAAAAAAAACTTTGTTCCTTAAAAATAATTTATATCTAGAATAATTAGTAAAGAAATTAAAAATATTCAACACGACTCTTTGAAAGCATTAATACAATTAATTGAAAACACAGCATTTTGAAGATTTCAATTACTTTTAAGCATTTCAAGTAATAATCATCAATACCCATTCTTTCATTAAAATGCTAAGCAATTCCAATGACAAAAAATTTAATATAATTTACCTCCAGCAGCTTCAACATTTGTATAACTTGAACCAGGAATAGGTGAGCTGGGTTTTGAACTTCCACTTGATGCAACAGATAGGCTCCGTCTTCTGTATTTTCTTTTTCTCTGAGGTACTGAAAAAAAATAGATGTAATTAGCAAGCAAGATAATTTACAAATCAATATTTATTAAAGATTTACAAATTCACTGCTATAATAGGCATATGTTTTTCTGCAAATTATATAAATCCTTTTCTCAATGGAAAAAAGAAAATCACCATAAAATTAAAAAAAAAGTTTGTTAATCCAGAATTACATCATAAATTTAGAAAATTAAAAAACTTATTTTTCAAATCCCGATGAGAACCACCACATTTCTTCTGACTAACATGGACTAAGGAGACAAGAATGTCAACCAATATACTTTAATACCATTTTTGATGTAAATGCATTTCGGACGTAAACCCCTCTTCAGTGCATGCTATGGTAAAATAAAACTTAAGAAACATATACATAAACAAAAACAAACATCCAAACTTTACATAGCTTTATATAACAAAAATAGTAAAATTTTCATAAATAACTTTTTTTGTAACTGATATGAAAGTTGCAACAGATAAGCATTGATCTTGTTTAAAATGTTGATGATATATGAAATTAATAGGATTTGAAGCACCTTTTAGGTTGCTAATGAATAGTTTCTTTAAAAATTCCAGAGCCTCATTCTGTTAGAGTCCTCAGCCAAGATTTGTGAGATGTACTGTACTATAATTTTAAGGTATTAAACTTATAAAATATATTTATATAACACAATGAAAAAGTTATAAGAATATTTGTTTATTAAACTGAAACAGAATCCAAGGTCAATGCTTATTGGTTGCAATGTTCATATTGGTTATAAAACAATGTTATTTAAGAAAATTTTACTATTTTTATTATATAAAGCTATGTAAAGTTTGGATGTTCGTTTTATGTAATTGTTTATTAACTTTTATTTTATCATAGCATGTACTGAAGAAGAGCTGAAGCCCGAAATGCATTTACATTAAGAATGGTAGTAAAATATATTGGATGACATTCTCGTCTGCTTAGTTAGTGTCAGCCAGAAGAAATGTGGCTGTTCACACAGGGTTTAAAAAAAAATAATTTTTTGGTTTTCTAAACTTACAATGTATTTCTGGATTAATATATATGGATTAATTAATGTTATAACCAGATCCTTAATATTGAGATTTAAAAAATGTTTAAATTATCATCATAATGCTATTGTTAAATTGTTTTAACTTATGAAAATAAGAGCTCTGATAATGTATTAGTTTTGCCAAATGCTTAAAATTTTCAATAAGATGATTTAAATTTGATTTAGTTACATGTAACAGTACAGATAATATGGAAAAAAAATAATAATAATCATATTTAAAGTTTTAGATTCAAAGTAAATAATTTTATATAAAACAAAACTAAAGTTAATGTAGAAATTATACATAAATATACCTTTTGAAACTTTGATAAAATTACATTAAGATTAGCACATTGTTATAGAATGTTAACAGTTCATTGAATGACTTATATGTTATCACTTCTTCTTCTTTAATGCTGCCGAATGGCATTTGCGACTTCATTTTGATATTGTTCTCTGTCTAGCACTGTGTGTAGAACTTGTGCTGTTGTCATGTGAAACCAGGTGTTGATGTTATCTAGCCAGGCAGTTTTTGGTCTACCTGGACATTTCTTGCCTTCAATCCTGCCCTCCAGGATGAGTGGCAGTAGATGGTATTTTTGGTAGTTCCTAGCAATGTGGCCTAGGTATTTGCATTTCCTGCTGATGATGGTTTTGATCAGGTCCCGGTCCGTGTGCATGTACTGCAAGACCTGTGCATTGGTTATCTTGTCTGTCCACGGAATTTTCGAAGGCCTGGAGCTTTTTTGTAGTGGCTGCTGTTAGAGTTCAAGTTTCTACACCATACAGTAGAATTGGCCAGATGTAGCATTTCAATGTGCATAATTTGAGCATGATATTCAAGCTTCTGTCAGTAAGGAGTGTTTCCCATTTGGTAAATGCCTGCCTGGCTTGTTCGATTCTGCTCTTGATTTCGGCCTCGTGATTCAGCTAGTCATCAATTAGTACTCCAAGATACTTGAAGCAGTGTACCTGCTCCAACTTTTCGTTATTTAATTTGATCGTGATTTCGCTAGGAGTCCTGCTGACCTTCATCACCTTTGTTTTCTTTTTGTTGATTCGTAAACCCCATGCTTGACTTTTTGTGTTCACTTCATTCAAGATAGTCTGTAAATCTTGTTCGGAATCCGCTATTAATGCTGTGTCGTCGGCATATCTTAGGTTATTGATGTAGTGTCCATTAACTTTTATGCCGATCTCCCTGTCGGCCAGTGTTTGGTCAAAAATCATTTCCGAATAGATATTGAAAAGAATGGGAGATAATGGGCAGCCCTGCCGGACGCCTTTTTGTATTGGGATTGGGTCTGTCAGGTCGTTGTCATAGCGGAGCCGGGCTGTTTGATTCCAGTAGAGAGTGGTGATAAAGTTGATATCGTTAGTTTCAAGCCCAAGTTTTCTCAGTTGATTAATTAGGCGGCCGTGGTCCACTGAGTCAAAGGCTTTCTCATAGTCAATAAAACATATGTACACTTCTTTTTGATGTTCATAGCACCTCTGTAGCAGTATTTGTAAGCAGAAAATTGCCTCTCTGGTGCCCAGCCCCCTGCAGAAGCCAAACTGTGTGTTTCCTAGTGCACGTTCGCATTTACATCTTATTCTTTGCTGAATCACCTTGAGGAAGACTTTTAGCACCTGGCTCATTAAACTGATCAGCCTGAAGTCTTCGCATTTTCGGCTGGTAGCCTTTTTTGGTAGGGCCACAAAGATTGATTGGAGCCAGTCAGATGGAATAACATTGTTGTTGTAGATTTGATTGAACCATTTTGTTAGTTGTTGGATGTTGTTGTAGTCCAGCTGCTTCAGCAGTTCCACGTGAATCTGGTCAGGTCCACAGGCCTTGCCTGGCTTTGCTTTACTAATGGCATGTTCCACTTCAGATGTTAGTATGTGGAGATTGTCTTCCTGCACTTGTTGCAATTCTGCTGGTTTTCTATTGGCGCGAAACAGATTGTATATGTAGTTCTTCCAGGTGTCAAGTTTGGCTTGTTTGCTTAATATAAGTTGATTGTTGTCCGTATATAAGCTTGGGATAGGAGTCAGTTTGTAGATGCTTCCAGCTTCTTTGAGCTTCTTGTGCAGGTTAAAGTTATCATTTTTCTTGATTAGATTTTCAATTTCTGCACACTGCTCTTCCATCCATTTTTCCTTCGCCTTTCGTATTTCTTGTTTGATCTTTTGTTGTATTTCTTTGTATTTTTCCCGGTTGTTATCACTTTTGAGTGTTCTCCGATTGTCCATTAGATCTAGAATGTGCTGGGTCATCCACCGTTGTTTCTTTTTCGGTGCCTGATGTCCCAGCAGGGTTTCTGCTGTTTCGTTGATGCACTGTTTCAGTGAACGCCCGAACGCTTGTACGTCTGTTGTTGCTGCTTCGATCGATCTGATTGAATTGTTGAGATGCAACTGTAATTGTTGCCTGAAGGCATTATTCTTCAGCTTCTCCAGATCAAATCTTTTTGTTGCTCTTGTGTGTTTTGCTGATCGCAGTTTGAGGCGTAGTGTTACTGTCACTGGGTTATGGTCTGATGATATGTCAGCTCCAGGGTACGTTTTTGCCCTGAGGGCACTTGACTTATATCTGATGTTAATTAAGATGTAATCAATTTGGTTCCTGACGATATTGTTGTCAGCGTCTTGTGGCGAGGTCCAGGTGTACAGTCGTCGAGGAGGTAATTTAAACCAAGTATTTACGACGCTAAATTTTTCTTCTTGACAGAACTGTACAAGCCTGTCACCTCGTTCATTCCGTGTCCCCAAGCCATGTTCTCCGACTATGTTTTGTAGTTTTCCTTGACCGACTTTGGCATTAAAGTCACCGAGGATGACCGTAATGTCTTGCTTCTTCAACGGCTTTAAGGTGTTGCTTAGCTGGTCGTAGAACGATTCTATTTCTTGATCGTCTTTGTTCGCTGTAGGTGCGTAGACCTGGAGCACGTTCAGGTTGATCTTATTACCTGCTAACTGTATTAGTGCGATTCGTTCTGATATTGGGATGAAACTGGTGATTTTGTTGGCCAGTTGTTTGTGGACAACGAAAGCGACGCCGTACGTCTGCTTGGTGTTCTCTTCTCCTCCAGAACAGAAGACGTGGTGGTCGTTTGATATAAACTTCTTTGTTCCAGGCCATTTAGTTTCGCTTAGACCGAGTATGTTTATGTTGATGCGTTCCATTTCTTGTAAAACGTTTGCTAGTTTTCCTGGTTGTAGTAGGCTTCTGACGTTCCATGTAGCTATTTTTAGAGAATTCTTCGATGCAAGCTCGGAGATTCTTAGCACCCCTGTTCCATTTAAGGGACACCGGAACTCGGGGCCGTGGTTTATTTTGCTTGCCATCAATGAAGTTTACAAGGGAAGAATAATCCAAGTAGTTTCCCGCTGCTTTCTTGGATCACAATTTAGTTGAGAAGGTCGTGTGTGGACCTTTTTAGATACACTAACGACTAAACAAAACAAAAACAAAAAACAAAACGTTATATAACTTGTTAGAAGGAAAAAAATCTCCAACGTTCTTTTATCAAATTTTTAAAATTCTTCTTAAATTCTCATATGTTAACACAAATACACAAAAACTGTCAAATTTTTAAAAAGTTCTTGAAAGACAAATACTCTGCAAATATTTTTGATAAACGTTAAAAGGAAAAGCACCACAGAATTTCCAGTAGATTAAAATATGCACATAATTACAAATAAAATTTTAAAGCATTAATAAATTAAAACTTTAAATTTCCTTCCATTTTTGGAGTTCATCTAACTCCCTCCTATACATTTCAATAAAAAAAAAAATACAGACCAAGTAGATTCCAGAATTATATTACATAGACCCATACCTATAAAGATGATAAAAAATGTATTTAAATAAAGTAAATAAAATATTTCTATTATGTTTATATTTATATGAAACTATTTCTTTGTTGATTAGGACTAAGCTCAATTTTTAATTTATAAGCATAGTCATCAAGTAAGAAATATTCATTTGATATAAACATTTTTGCAAATTTGGTTACACATTCTAAAATTAATTTTTTTAAATCATGAAGCCAACAACAAAAATACTTTATTGCAAAAACGAAAAAAAAAAAATTATCTGTATGTAAAATGCTGTCTCTCAACAAAATCATTTATCAAAACATGTAAAGAGCTTGCTCATCCTGTAATAAAAAATCTTCCAACCTCATTGCTGTAGCCATCCAGCAACGGCAGCTTTAATTTCATTAGTAATAAAACGGCAATTGCATGTATGCTACTTCAAATATGGGAAAATGTAAGTCAGAAGAGGCCAGATCCAAGGTGAAGGGGAAGAAGATAAAGAATGTCCCATTGAAATGTTTACAACAAATTCATACTTCTGTACGTCATATGCAGTCTGTGATATTGTCACAGAGGAAAACAATACTCTGGTGTCCAAAATGTTTTCTCCTAAAAACACTTTCAAGCTTTAGTAGGTGAAACTTTTTATTTTGCAAAAAACTGCTTAGATTTCTTCACAAGGTCATTTTTCTAGCCTTGTCATCATTTGGAAATGGTATATTAACTGTCTTGCACTTGTGCATCATTCCAACCATTCATTTTGCCAATATGAGATCAATATTATCTACCTACCTTGAAATTATAATCAACAGTGCATCGGTTTTTAAATCATATGTTTAAAAACCAATGCACTAGAGTTTATAGTTATTTTTTTATCACCCCATATATGTACTTAAATATTAAGAATGTACAAAGTTTTCAAACAAAACTGAAACTTTGATAAAACTGAAGTATAATTTAGAAGTGAAGATTAACAAACATACTTTTGCAACAAAAGAAATAGAACCACTTACCAGCATTATTAAAGTTCACTAACCTACAATCATAAGCAATAGACGCAATTTTACACACCTGTTAGTTTTTCATGGGCATTTTTCACAAAATTGGCTTACTTACCTGTGCTTCCATGATATTGGCCTAACTAAAAATTTTCCGTTTATCAGACCCTCAAAAACAGCTGTGGAAAATTACCACTTTACACATGCAATTTTTCTTCATTGTCACACAATTGCAGGCATAATGCAGCAATTTTATTCTCCACATATTTTTGGTGACCTGATGCCACTAAAAAGTAAGGTCATACACAGTTGCCACAAGAGAATCATGATCTCATGGATGTTTCTCAGCTATTCATGGCATAATGACATGGCAGTCTGCAACTCACAACCATGAATACTTGTCTCTAAGACAGCTATGACCTTCAACAATTTAAATGTTTTCATGGCTTTTATTTTATGCTTAAAAAATAGAAAAATCATCTTTCTGTCATTCTGAGAAACACCACAACCCTCTTTTCATTTATTTCCAATTGAATTCATTTCATATTAGCTCATGCTATTGCAGAGTTTGCAGGGCTCCTATAGGAGCCATTGAAAGGATATTGCTCTATAAACAAAACAATGTGTGATATTGAGACTTGGAACATGCAGAGACAATATATGCAGGTTATTCCAAAATTGTCAAATTTGAGGAACAGCAATTACTTGAAGCATAATTACACATGAAAAATTGCCACCTTATGCATGCAATCTTGAAAAAACCTACACGTGATAGTGTGTAGGTTTTTTCAAGATTGACAGATGAAACACACACAGATGAAAGAATTTCATTGATAAATATGGATAATTAATACAACAAAAAAGAAAATGAAAATTATACACACAGTCCATCAAAATTAAAATTGCAATTGTCTGAAAACTTCATAAAAGTGTAAATCATATTTGTTACAGCTTCTTATATATTGTAGTACACATGATCACATACTAATCATTTGGTTATATCAAGCATTAAGTTAAGATAATGTACATATTCCTAATGCTTTTCAGTTAACAGAAAGTTCTCTTCTTACTATCTTTTCTTAATTTTTAAAAATTATTATTAATAATAATATTGATATTAAAAACAAATTTCTTAATACATTGTCCTCTATGTTTTTAGTACATTTTATTATTCAGATAACCCTCACATTCATTCTGTCATGCATTGCATACTGATAATAACAAAAATTGGTTAATTTAATCATATCTTCGTATGATGATAATAAAAGCCAAAATGGAAAAAACAAAAATATTCTTACACAATAAATCAAAATCATGTTGTTTTCTTCTTCCAATTTTCCCTCTTCTCTTCTTAGATGCCACCAGTTTTTTACACGTTCCATGTTTACGCCCACAGAAATTTTTTCGAAATTCTTCATAAAAATATTATGATAGAATATGATTTGAAATTAATTCAATATTTTATAATGTACTTATAGTATTAATAATAGTAAAATTATAACTTAATTTCAGTTATTAAACTTTATTACTTATTGTATTTTAATATAGTAGTCTTGTATTTACCATAAACTATTATGAACAATTGCACATCATGACACAAGAACTTTTGGTATTACTATTTATAAATTAAAATATTTTGATTAAACTGAAATCTTAACTTTGATAAAATTCTGTAATGACTAAAAATAATGTTCTTATTTATATATTGACAATTCAGCAAAATGTACAAAGAAAGTTTAGAATTCATGCTAAAACTCTTCACATGCCTGCCAAATTTTATTCTTCAATCTTTAACCTCAAAAGACATGGTGGCCATTATCACATTACATAAATAATCCTGCTGAAAATAGTATTTTCACCCATTTGCTTATCACATTTCTCATTGAAAAAGATTGTTCAGATAGTTCTCACAGAAAATTCTATTCTAAATACTTTTATTTTAAAAAATTTGAGTTTAAAAGATAAGACAGTTAATTATTCTATTTATTAAAACTGATTTTATAATCTATTTATTAGTTACATAAATCACTGCATCAACTTTATTTGATATTAACATTAAGTATTTATGAACAACTCATCTTAAATACTAGAAAAAGGAAGTTTATGCAGTAGAATTTTAAGTTACTAGCTTAATTAATATTCTATCAGCTGAGCTAACCTAACCCAACAGGTGCCAATGAATTTAGAAAATTTGTACTTACAGAAACAACTGAATGCATAGCATTTTCTACACATTTCCTGGAAAACATCCAAAACAACAATAATACTAATTTAGAATTTTGGCAAAATTAAACTTTTGCCAAAGTAAATTCTCAAAGATTCATCTTTGACAGTTCAGTTGTTTAGTTTATATTAGTAATACACTTTCTCCTATATTTTAAATTATTAGGGCTTATGTATTATTCAAATTTCAAATATTTGTTAAGCAAATATTTCAGCTTTATCTTATTCACTAAAATTTGTTTAAAGTATTCTAAGCAAAGTTAATGTTAAATTTAAAATTATATGCAAGAAAAATTGATAATTACTTGCTGAAGACAAAAGTGTTTGTGCTGCATTTCTTGCTAATTTGAAAGAGTGCTTTTTTGCTTGGTAATTGAGTGACTTAGGAAGTGAATAATGTGATTTCCTGTAACAGAAAAGGAAATAATTAGAAAATTTTATATATTACATTTTAAGCTATTCTATACTTAATAAAGTGTTTCATCAGTTATTTCCAACCCCACGTTACATACAAAGAAATAAATGCAATTCCATTAAAGAGGTTGGTTTATTTAAGGTATAAAACATTTTAAGCAGACTCGTCTTCAGATACAATCTTTAAACTCAAACTTCAATTGTTCAATTCAGAAGTTCAATTTGGTGGAACCATGATAATGATCATCTCTTTACCACAAGGTTTGATGTTTTAAATTTGCAACAGTATTTGTAAAGGGTTAACATATGGCATTAGTTTTTGTATCAGTTCATTATTTGGGAAAATGAACGATTCCACAAAGAGTTTCCTAATGATTTTTTTTAGCATTTTTTCTTCTTTTTCCATGAACTTCAGATATCCACAGATTCATGCGTATATTGTGTGGGGACTGCATAAGACTCCAAATGTTGAACTTCTGATTAAAACATTTTTTTTTTCAAAAGACGTATTTGATAAAAGTTTTTGACTTACATAGAATCATAATACATGATAAAAAAACAAGAGGGTTCCCATTTAAGAAAATGAAGTTGATCACACTTTCACTGATTGTTGTGCCATCTATGACAAAACCAATAACCTCATCTTGTTAGACTTCAAGAAACCTACATTTTTGGTTCAATGATTTTTTGTAGGATGTACATTTTTTCAAGTTATATTTCAGTGGGTTAATTAAAATGGACCAATCAGTGTTCTAAAGCAGTTGCAGTTTCCTTAAGTTACTAGTATTTAAAATTATTTAATTTTAAAATGAAGTCACACAGTGGTGTAGTGTGGGTGTCAGCTGCCCGGGGCGGAGGAAATTTCGTCACTCTTATTTAGGTATTTCAATTTAAAAGACTAAAATTCAGTTTTGTCACAGAACAAGCAACGAAAAATTCTGTGCTAGTGCAGCAACCTGTTTAAAATAGCTCTATTGGATATTAGTGGTGTATATGAATGCGAATGAATCATACGAGGAAAAAAAACAACAACAACACAACAACAGGTTGCGCAGGATATCCTCAGATGAAATTACTATCATAGCCGCGACGCAAATATAGATTAGAATGGTTCAAATTTTTACAAGATATTATTATTTATTGTGAAATTTTGCCGCCCCCTAAAAAGTGCCGCCCGGGGCAGGCCGCCCCTGCCGCCCCTACTACGGTACGCTACTGCACTCGGCCGTTGCTGGACTCTCCATCCATATGACAAACAAATCTATGATTTGTTTATATTAGATATATATAAATATATATAAAAATTATATAAAGATATATAAAAATTAACTTTCATGAATGTTTTGGTGTTACAGAAACCAAAACTGAATAGAAAGCTCCGCAATATAGCAAATTAACGAAAATGTGTCTTATTTTGTATACAAAAAATAGTTTAAGAGAAGCAGATTATTCTGTACGAAAGAATGAGTTGTCCGGAATTTAAAACCTGCTTGTATATGGTAGTTCATTGACACATACGCAATGTCTTCTGTTTTGAAAATTTGAAAATGTATATTATTCGAATCCAATTCCCTTAGCAGAAGGCTGACACCCTTTCTTTTAGTCGGTTGTAAAAACTGAAGAACAGTTTGGGATTCTCTTGCGTTACGATATCTTATATTGTAACGTAAGAAAAATTAGCCTATTGTATTTATTGAGGCGAAACGTTAGAGAAGCCTCTTTTATCTAGCTCAGGGCTTCTTAAACTATGGGTCGCGACCCCATTTGGGGTCGCTTAGCGAAATCTTGGGGTCGCGAGATTTTAATGCAAAATATTGAAAANGATAGCCATAGGTTGACTATGCAAATATTTAATCTTATTTATATACAACAGACTTTTACTAATAGAATTGGAAGTAAAAATGGCATTACCACTTTGCTGAATTTGCTTTACTTTTTAACTTTTACAATAAATAAATTCATTTTATAAGAATATTACTTTAATTCATATAAAGTTTAGTTATTACATAACCTTTAGGTTTAATTAAAGGCAGTAGTAAACTAGATTTTTATATAGCACTTTTTAAACAGTAACTGGACAAACATACAGCAAGACCCTGCTTAACGCTGATTCGATATAATGCAGTCTGCTCGAAGCCTAAAAAAAGCTCAAAATTTAAGATGATTTAAATTATCACAGCATTTCATTGATTCGTATATAATACGATTATTTACAAACACGAACCAATCAGAAAAAGGCAACAAAAAGGTGTACCTTCTTTAAATCTATGTTTGTTTGGTGCAATCTTGGAAAAAATACGGTGGTACCTCAGGATACGAAATTAATTCGTTCCGAAACTGAGATTGTATCATGAAAATGTCGTAAGGTAAAATTTTTTCACATACAATTACATGTAAAACCAAATAATTCGTTCCAACATGAAAAACGCACTCAAATTAAAGCTAAGTAGTAAATTAAAAAAAACTACTTTAGTATTAAAAAAAAAAACAACTTTAGTAAGGAAAACACTGAAAAATGCATTTTGTAGTTGTAAATGTATAAATAACTATAATAGAATAATAACTAATTTTAAAAAATGTAGTTTTATTTGCACTTTACCTTTGAGGATAGACGACGGTGGAGGTGTAAACTGGTGGCGGAAGAGAGGGAGAAGGGAAATGATACTAAAACTTAACTTACATAATATAATGTAACAATAACTTAAAAATAACTTAGAAAAGATAAAAAAATTTAGTGTTGTTTTATATATATTTTTTAAATTTTTATTTACTGCTTTTTGCTTTCTTTCCTTCACTTCCACCAGCATTTTCACTGGATAGAGTTCACTTGGTAACGTATCTATCCAAAGAGGTTTGGCTTTACCTACTTCTAAAAATGTTTCTAAAATGACTTAGGCAAATGTCATTACTCTGAGCAGCAATACGGCCAGTGTGAACCTTGTCGGGATGTTTCTTTTCAATAAAATCAATCACTTTCTGATAATACCTCAAAATTTCCTTTATCAAGCGAGATCCTTCCACGATGAAGCAAACACGTGGACTGAGAACAATGAACAGAAGTGAATAAAAAATGGCGCTGCGAACTAATGTAACGTCATATGGTGAGTTTTTGTTTGTATCGTGGAGCAAAAATATGTTTGAATTTCGTGTCGTATCCTGAAAATTTTGTATGCTGGGGTGTTCGTATCCCGAGGTACCACTGTATATCATCATGGATGCTATAGGCAATATCAGCTTCACTTGGTAAGAATTAACTGATAAATGCACAAAGTGTGGAAGAAGTTATGGCTGAAGGTATCCAAGAATTCTCAATGAGAAGAGCTGTATCATAAGGTTGACCAAACTCAACCTAATCAATATAGCAGGACTAGGAGCTATAGACGAGCAGGATATTGAGGAGTTACTACAGGTTTCTGGTGAGAGCCTTATCAATGATGACCTTCAAGAACTGGCAGAACATGGAATTAATGTGAAACTGGAAAATAAGAGATTCTGAAAATGAAGAACCCAAAAAATTTCTCTACAGGTTTCCTTAATAAAAGCTTGGTAAGATAATCAAAATCGTTGATCAAATTGTAGCAAATTATCCAGATTTTGAAAGGAGTGCAAAAGCAAAACAAGGTGTTTTGGATGTGATCTTCTGCTACCGACATTTGCTTAAGGAAAGAAAAAAGCAACAAATGAAACTTTGTGACTTTATTGCAAAAGAACAAAAATTTCAGAAAAGTCAAGACCTTCGTCGCAAAAAATTAACTTTACATTTCTGTGTGCCTGTTTATGTGTTATTTAACATATATTATTATACAAATTAATATAAAAATAACTTAAATTTAAAGTAAAATTTGTTGATTTTTGGTCGCGTGTTTCCCTATCCCTATTTACTCTACATTAAAATGATCTCGTTGAATGCCGTTTCACTTAGCTCTTTGTTGTCTAGGAGCACATCTCCAGTGTTAAGCAGGGTCTTACTGTAATTGTACTGTACATCCTATTGGATGGCCTGACCATTATGATCAAGTCTTTGTAAGTTCATTTTTTGTCTAATTACATATAGTAGTACAATTTTTACTACATTCAATTTATATAAAAGAAGTTAATTTTAAGTAAAGTAAGTAATGTTTCAAATGAAGATTTAACATTTCATAATTCTTTTTAACTTGTAAATTATCCATAAATAGCCTACAGCAGGGATGGCAAACCTATGGCAAGTCAACAGAAATCACTTGGCATGTAGCTTAATCATGCAATTTCAATTTATCACTTGTCTTTTTCAATTATCCTTTCAGTCTATCATCTGATCAATCTTTTTTTCAATCAGCTTCTTTACATTTTTTCTAATTAAAGCTTATTCATTTCATTTCTTTGAATATCATTATTTGAAGTCTAAAACCTTGGCATGCACACATTTTAAAGACAAGTATGATTATGATATGACACACAGACTGAAAAAGGTTTGCCATCCCTGGCCTATAGCAAATTAATTAATTTTTTTTTAATATCAAAGTAGTTTCTGTCAGGTATACTAAGTTATCCGAAACTTTCTAGAATCAAGCAATGCTGCTAGCTTTAATTTTCTTTTATGAATTTCACAATATTTTATGCATTTCTGAATTTGAGTTTAGTTGCTTTATTTTAATCTCTCTTCTATCAATTAATTTTGTATCTATCTGTATTACTAAAGTAAGTGATGTAGTACTTTAAATTCTAAATTGATAATTATACAGGTATACCAATGATTACAAAGCAATCATCAAAAACTTGACAGCATTTTTAAACTATTTTCAACTTATGAATATTTAGAAGTATGTTGACTGGAAAAGATTGCCAACTATTGGTTTAATTCATTTAAAATAAAAAGCTTTCCAAATATTTTAAATATTTTCATTTACTTTCTACTTCATTTAATACCAATTCTGCTGGTAAGATTAAACTACTTCAAATTAAATATTCTTGTATTTCATTTTATCTCAATCATATTCCACAGCTTTTAAAAATTTAATGTATTTTATTCAATCTGTAAATTTTTAATTATTTTTAAAATCTCTTTAAACTCTAGCTTTTAAGGAAATTCAACATTAGTTTTTAATATTGAAAATGTTATCAATGACGTTATGCAATATGACACAGCACAGCAGCTATAAACAAAACTGAAAAGAAATATGCTAGGATTAAAATTTATTTTTAAGGCAATTATTTCTGTAAGAGTTATACAAAGAATAAAAAAATTTAACAAGTTTTTAACTTCGCCTCAAAGAAAAAATTTTATGATTACGTCATTCCAGACTTAATTTTCCAATCAAGCAGCATAACTTCCACTAGGAGAACCACTAGTTAGTTGAACATTGAAGTAGCTAGGTAAATGCAGATATGAGTATTTCTAATAAATTTTCTTAATTATTTGTTATCACCTGTTATTTTATCTTTAAAATTATGGGCTGTAAAAAGGAACTATGTAATGATATGAAAAAAGAATTATTACGATGTTACAAGAGAAGAAAAAACAAACTCACAGCAAAAAGTTGCTAAATTGTCCAGTTTAACTCAGAGCACAATATCTGATCTTTGGAAAAAATACAATACCATGGGAGATGTTATTAATCATCCGCATACTGGTCGTCATAGAAAGACAACTAAGAGAAATCATAAAATTTAGCAAAATATTTGCTTAAAAAATCGTAAAAATACTGAAAAACATATAAATGATGATGGAAGAAGACAAACATTCAAATTTCTGACAGAACAGTATAGTGTTGATCACCAGTCTAACAGTTCTGATGTTAAAAACAAGTTATATTGAGATTCTACAATTTTTAGTTATAATACTAAATTATAAATAATTTAATTATTATTAGAAAAAACAATTTTAATTGACTAAAAATAAGTACTTTCAATTTATTCTACACAATTTAATATACAAGACCTTCCAAAAAGAATGCTACCATTTTAAATTACTGTAATTATGTTAATTATTACCCAAGAAGTATGCATTGTACATCAATTGATAGAATAAATGTCAGAGTTTCACCTACCACTTGTATTTAAACATTTCTTTTTTTTGGTCTACTACTTCTAGAAGTGGTGTGAACAAAAATGGCAACTCTGCAACAAAGAAGGCATTGTGTGTTCTGCACTCCACACATTTGGAATCAGTCATCACTGTGCAATAAGAATGGTTGTCTTACATGGTGGATCATTTTGAAATTGTCTGCAAAACTCATGTTGCCAATGATAACATATTCCAAGTTTGCAGACAGCATAACACAAAACACATTCTGTTGCAGAGATTTTTGTGTTCTATACCCGTAGAGAAGATATTTGAATGCAGATAGTACTGTACATAAAATTCAAACATTTACTCTGTTGATTGATATACATCAAATACTTCTCAGATAATAATTATAATTACAGTAATTTAGAATAGTAGCATTCTTCTGAAATACCCTTTATTTTGATCCTTTGCACTTGATAGATTATCAAATCACCTATAGAACCTCATCTCCATGCTATCAATAAGTTTTAAAAATTCTAGTACAAACTGAAGACTATGTTAAGTTTTATATCTTAAAAATTAAATTCAAAAGTATTTTGGAAAAATAAAAAGACATGCCAATATTTGGTAAAGACAAAATTAAAATCAATTGTGTCAATCTTCAGCTGCATAATAAAATTACCACTGAAGTAAAATTTATTCTCTTTTATAAAACAAAATTTCTTGTTTAACTTTATCTTGAAAAGATTGTACTGAGTTTACAATTTGATTTAAATATAGTAAATATTAAACAAATCAAACAAACAATAATTATTTTTTCAATAATTTTTCATATTCATAATTTAAAAATAAGTAGGTTATGCAAGCACAAGATAATGCATTAAAAAAATATATATATATATCATACTTTCTCTTATAGTCTATAGTTTGTACACTGTTGCAATGCTGAACAATTAAATTTGTAAAGTTTTAGACTTATACAGCTATAAATTTCAATTTGGCAACTAAAGTCATACTATTATATCTTGTAACTTTAATCATCATTCTACAAACTCTAATCAATGTTGAAAAACAAGCATTAATTCTCGCTATGGTTATTTTCTTTTAAGCCACTGTATCTCAAATTTTGGTGGTTACAGGTCAACCAGGTGGGGAGTTAAAGGGGAAATTGTGTGTCATATCTTGAATAGGGTTAGACTTAATGACCATTTTACTCATTACTAGCACTTACAATTTTTTATATAACCTGTCCCTACCCTCAAAATTAAGCTTTTTGCCATTTTATAATAATTAAAAATATAAAAAGTTTTTAAAAACAAAATATCATAACAAATAATGCCCCACACAGTTTTAAATGTTATGGGGAAGTTAAGCAAATCATTACTTGACTTTTTATATTGTTGTGTACAGAATTCTGTAAGTTTGATATTTCCACATTTATGGTTGAAAACAGATAAAATAATTTTACTAAATAATCAAAAATGTACAACCAAGCATGAAAGCCTTACATATATTTAGAAAACTAATTGCAGAGCTTCATTGACTCACTAACACCCAGCATCAGACGATAATGGCAAAAGTAATATGCTCTGACCACTTTTAACCAAGGATTATCCCTTGATTAATGTGTTTAATTAATCCCTTGAAGCTATTACCATATTTCATAGATGCATATATCAAAATTGCATCAATGTTAAGTAAAAACATCTGGCAAAGCTGTGTTAATTAAAACTTCTGCTGCATATAAAAAGGAATTGTTACAATTAATTTCACTCACTAATCAAATCCCATGTTAAGTAAGGGATATCTGTATTGTAAGTGTTTAGCAAATTACAGACCAAATCTCCCAATGTTGGGAAGAGGTATAAAAAATCTATTATCCAACAAAGACAAATTCATTTGTATCATAGAGCAGGCAGACAATACCATTGGAATCTATAACACACAAGAATGCTTGCATGCAATATTTTTAAAGCATTGCATAACATAATGAATTCAAAACCTATATTGTAAGCAAGCATTTTTGTGACAGTTTTTAAAGATAAGTCTACCCAGTGAGTATGTATGTAAAAATGATTGCTTTAGAGTAGTGTTTTTCAACCTTTTCCTTTTTATCTCAGGGCACACTTGAACCTATAATTAAATTTCCACAGCACAAATTTACTCAGAAAATCACTTATATTTTTTGTGAATTAAATAAAACCATATTGTTGTTCCTTAAAATAGCAGAAGGTTATAATAGTTATTTCAATTAATAATTTTTATTTAGATAATTGCATTTAGAAACCTGCTCAATGTCCTGCTATTTCTAAGTTAAAATAATTTGAACTAAATATGGACAATCATAGATACATTTTTGATTTAAAGAAAAATTTCTTTTTAAATGAAATAACCCAGTATTATGAACGTATAATTTTGCTTTGAATATATAATTTTTTACTACATTATATATAAGTTTATTTATTATAACAATGAAAAACTCATATAATCAATTTAAAGGGGTTTTAATTTTCATACATTGTTCTTTGGGCTTCTGTCAAAAGTAATTTATTTAATAACCTTCAAAAATTTTTGTGGTGCACCAGTTAAAAATCACTGCTTTAGAGAAACAAACTTAATAAACTAAATTCTAGAAAATACAACCTAATAACTAAATGAAAATAATAATGAAAGCAAAAGTAATAATGAATACAAAAGTCTTCTATCACTCAAAACCAAACTGATATATATATTTATTTTTCAAATACTTTTGAAGTGTGTTTCCTTTAAAAATATCCATTTGTATTCAGAGAGGTCTGAATACAAATGGATATTTTACGAGACAAGAAAACCATTCAGGTCTAAATAAAAGGAACATGTTTAAAATGTTAATATGATTAAAATTTGTATTCACTTGTAATGCATCTATTCAAAGATTAAATAAAATGAAAAGAAAAACTGATCTAGTCACAACCTGCTTCAATTATTAAAAAGAAAATAGCAAAACCACCAAAATCATTACTATATAAATAATGTAATTAGTTTGTAATTTTGAAATTAAAAACACTGTTTCCATAAAATAAATAACAAAATTTAACATAAAAATAATTAATATATTCCTAAATTATAAAAAATTTTCCCACTGAATTTATTCTAAGAATTTTGAATGATACACAAATACAAATTTTTCTATTGATGTATTCATATAATTTAAGAACATTCATAGTATAACACAACTCAATAAAAGACCTCTGGGTTTTTATAGCACTCAAGAGGCTTTTTTATTGAGGTGTGTTATACTGTTTTAGTAAGTACAGTGTGAAAGTGGTTAAACTAAAAATATTCATTACAGAAAAACAATTACAGTGGAAACTTGATTATTCAAATTTAGTGAAACAGGAGCCTTTTGGATAAGTGAAATTTCAGATAAACTAAAAACTTGTTTTTGTTTTATAGGCACATAAAGAGCATTATGCATTTAAACTTTAAAATTTCATGAACTATAAATACTGTAATGCAATTATTGTATTTGAGTAAATTGATTTACTCAAAATCTAATGTAATGTTATGTATATGCTTCAATCAGCATACTACATAGTAATTTCCAGTTACACAGTGTGGTTTTCTGTGTATTATACTGTTTTAGATACATATATGCATACATGAAAGACATTGGCTATACACAAGATGTTTAGCCAGCAGAAAAGAGGATAAAGGAAAGGGGGAAGGAGGAGAGAGAGAGGAAATAGACAGTAGAGAAAGGTAGGATCCCTCTGAATGGTGTACATATGGTTACTGTACCCTCTATGTTTGATGTTGGCATGCAGGTTTTAGGCTGCAAGGCCATAGTCCCCAAAGGGTCTAAAAGAAAACCTGAATGTACCAAACACCAATAATTGAGTATTGCCAGAATAGCTAAGTGTTAGTGCCAAGTGGCTGTCCAATGTAATTCGTGAATATTTTATTGCAATAAAATATAATAATAATAATAAGTTTTGTTTTGGTTGCTATGCCTTGACTCTGGTCCGACATAGTACACAGCCACTGGTGTCAACCAAGTATAACCCACTATTATTATTACGTTGGGTTTCCAACATAATACTAATAATAAAACTTGAACCAACAATTATAAATGTAATTTAAACAAAGACAAAAAGGTATGTATGAGAGAAAATTTTGGTATTGATTTTTGTAATAATATAGCAAAAAGAATTTTACAAAGTATGTAAATTTTGTTTGTGTTTTAATTATATTGATAGATGTCACTTACTCCTCAATTCAATGCTAAAGATGAATTTAATTAGCAATATATATAATAAAATGCTAATAACTGCACACTAAAAACAAAGCTCACTAGATTTATCCCTAACAGAAGCAGCCTGAAAAAAAAAAAAAAGTTGAGGTTTCACTATAGTATAAATATTTTGAAAAAATAATTTATCCATTTCATTACAAAAAGAAAATTTAGAATAATTCACTCACCGTGATTAAAAGACAAGACAGGATGAAATGATGGATCTAATATAGCTATCCTCTCAAAAACTGGCTTATCTTCATCCACTGTTTGTAGGTTATTGTATCTTCCACCACACATAGCACATGATGATATTTCACATTGACAGTTACAATTACATTTCACTGTAGAAAGACCTGACACCTTCTTATTAATCAAATGAAGACCAGCAGTTCTATATAATTTTCTTTTCTTGAAACTTTTAACGGGACGTGTTCTACACGAATTATGTACAGAATCGTATATGTGGGATAAGGAATTATTCACACTTTGTGTTCCCCTCTGTTCTGAACCCTGACCAGAGTTTGAATTTGCACTAAGTACACCACAAACTGAATGATATCCATTAGTACCTGAATCAAAAAATCCATTTACGGATTTTAAATGTTTATTAACCAATGGCAAATTGTTTCCTATATTCTTACTAGATGATCCCGATAGATAAGACAAATCACCTTTTTTCTTGATAGATTGGATATTTACATCAGAAGAAAGATTGGATGAATTAAAATTTTCAGTAGTTGAAGAAACATTATCTTCTAGAAGCACACAGTGTTTAGAAGCTCTCAGTTGACAGTATATTTCATTCTGTTGACGGATACGATACTCCAAATCAGAAACCTGGGCCTGTAACCAGATCCATCTTCTTGCCACAGCAGTACGATTCACTGCCCACTTCCACTCTGCTCTTTTGTGACTAGAAAAAAAATTAACTAAATTTAATATTCTTTCAAATATTTAAAAGAAATTTAACAGTGAAACTTTATTAAGGTCTTTATCTATAAAATTATAATTTTAACAATCAAATAGAATGCTAAAAAGTTATATAAATGCAGTTTAAATATAATTTCACTTAAAAAAAAATACGAAAGTCAACCTTTTTTCTTTATGATCTCGTCCACCTCAATACACAAAACATGTTAAAGAACTTCCATCTGGCAATGGAACAATTATATAAACTTAATATATATTATATAATAATATATATTTTTTTAAATAAGTATATATATATATTTTAATTCTCTTAAAAAAGGGTCAACTCTGGCACAAGACAATTCCTAAGATGTGACAAAGAACAAAATTGTGGAGACATTTTAGTATTTCTTCTAAATTTTGTAATTTTTAAAAGTTTATTATCCTGGCAAATTTCATTTTATATTTACTAGCAATTTACAGTTAAAGTGATGCTGTAATATTAAACACAACTAAAAACTTAACTGATAATGTTAAATACATCTACCAGTTACTTCAATATTTATTTCTACAAATTTGTCAGCAAATTAAATTTAATGTATTGAAAAATTTATTGAAAAAAGTCTTGATTTTTGTATAAGTCTGTTCAAACATATCAGTGATGTATCTGTTTAGTTCTGCAAGATGACGTCAGTGTCAGTGATAAAAAAAAATTGTTTCCTTAGAATTGATTGAATTATTCATACAATGTTGTATTTCAGGCTTCACTGTCAAATCAATAATTGTACTGTAATTTNTAAAATGAAGTCACACAGTGGTGTAGTGTGGGTGTCAGCTGCCCGGGGCGGAGGAAATTTCGTCACTCTTATTTAGGTATTTCAATTTAAAAGACTAAAATTCAGTTTTGTCACAGAACAAGCAACGAAAAATTCTGTGCTAGTGCAGCAACCTGTTTAAAATAGCTCTATTGGATATTAGTGGTGTATATGAATGCGAATGAATCATACGAGGAAAAAAAACAACAACAACACAACAACAGGTTGCGCAGGATATCCTCAGATGAAATTACTATCATAGCCGCGACGCAAATATAGATTAGAATGGTTCAAATTTTTACAAGATATTATTATTTATTGTGAAATTTTGCCGCCCCCTAAAAAGTGCCGCCCGGGGCAGGCCGCCCCCGCCACACTATGCCACTGAAGTCACAAGATGAATCTAGAACTCTGAATATTAGTTTTTAATATATAATTTCTCAATTCTGTATTAATGTAAGTTATCTTATACTTCATTCATAAATCTGTATTAATTCATAATCTATCATTATATCATAAATTCATAAATCTATATTAATTAAAATTTAATGACAAAAACTACAGCGGAAATTAATTACCACTACTTACTTTTTTATGTATAAACCATATTGATTGGCTGATTTTCGAATTTCCATATTCGACATCAATTTTTCCAAGATGAGATTTAATGAAATATCTAATAATACAGAAAGGAAAACATATATAAATTTTTTAGATTTTAATAAATAAAAAGCATGGTATGATAAACTTGTATTACAATATAATGACATATACAGTATAGAATTATTTCTAATATAATATGCTTATACTTGTATATAAAGTCAGAAAACCATTGCATGCATACTTTGTGTTTTCTGGTTTATCCAATTAAGTATGAACTTTTCAAGGTCATTCCGACAAGTAATTAATCAATCTCATTGAGGGTTAACATACTAGACAAGATAATTAGCATTCTAAAAACATCATTATAACACACATTTTGGCAGCTAAAATAATTATATATATTTAAAATGATAGCCATAGGTTGACTATGCAAATATTTAATCTTATTTATATACAACAGACTTTTACTAATAGAATTGGAAGTAAAAATGGCATTACCACTTTGCTGAATTTGCTTTACTTTTTAACTTTTACAATAAATAAATTCATTTTATAAGAATATTACTTTAATTCATATAAAGTTTAGTTATTACATAACCTTTAGGTTTAATTAAAGGCAGTAGTAAACTAGATTTTTATATAGCACTTTTTAAACAGTAACTGGACAAACATACAGCAAGACCCTGCTTAACGCTGATTCGATATAATGCAGTCTGCTCGAAGCCTAAAAAAAGCTCAAAATTTAAGATGATTTAAATTATCACAGCATTTCATTGATTCATATATAATACGATTATTTACAAACACGAACCAATCAGAAAAAGGCAACAAAAAGGTGTACCTTCTTTAAATCTATGTTTGTTTGGTGCAATCTTGGAAAAAATACGGTGGTACCTCAGAATACGAAATTAATTCGTTCCGAAACTGAGATTGTATCATGAAAATGTCGTAAGGTAAAATTTTTTCACATACAATTACATGTAAAACCAAATAATTCGTTCCAACATGAAAAACGCACTCAAATTAAAGCTAAGTAGTAAATTAAAAAAAACTACTTTAGTATTAAAAAAAAAAACAACTTTAGTAAGGAAAACACTGAAAAATGCATTTTGTAGTTGTAAATGTATAAATAACTATAATAGAATAATAACTAATTTTAAAAAATGTAGTTTTATTTGCACTTTACCTTTGAGGATAGACGACGGTGGAGGTGTAAACTGGTGGCGGAAGAGAGGGAGAAGGGAAATGATACTAAAACTTAACTTACATAATATAATGTAACAATAACTTAAAAATAACTTAAAAAAGATAAAAAAATTTAGTGTTGTTTTATATATATTTTTTAAATTTTTATTTACTGCTTTTTGCTTTCTTTCCTTCACTTCCACCAGCATTTTCACTGGATAGAGGTCGCTTGGTAAAATATCTATCCAAAGAGG